CTCCTCCTCTCAGAAGCTTCCTAAGCATTCCTAGGCTGAGTTAATAACTCTCTCCTCTTTCCCCACAAGGAACTATACACATTCCTGTATTACAGTCCTTATCATATTGCACAATAATTATTCAATTATGCATTTTCCCTCCTTCCACCCACCCACTGGACCAAGCTGCCCAGGAGCACCAACATCGTCTTTGACTTGACTCCCTAGTGCTTGGCAGAGAGGCGAGCACTTAGTGTGCTCTCAATCAATGTCTGACGAGTGAATGAATGAACCAACCACTCTCTGGCAGTCTTGCATTTTCAGTGAATCTTACGCTTTATTGGACATAAAAATCACCTGGAGTTGCTGGCTTAAAATGCAGCTTTCCAGGCCACAAGAGCTACTAATTCAAGACCAGGGATAGGGTCCAGGAATTTGCATTTTTGTTAAGTAGCTGATCATTTGATGCAAATGGTCCAGAGGTCACACCTGGCAAGTTCTACTCTATGATTAGTTCTGCTTCTTAGTCCCAATGTCATATCACAACTATCCATTGATCTGAATAAAAACATAGAGCTTCTCTACCCACCCCCTCTCACCAGCCCATCACCACCATTCTGACTCCCCAGTATGGGTACCAACATGTGAAACAAACCCCAAGACTCCCTTCTAGTAAAATTTGTGAAAATAAATAAGATGATATTTATAAACCATTTAGATCTCCTTAGCTCGTTAAGGAAAGATTATCATGATATGAACCTAGCATCCTGAAAATTATCTTGGACATGTCAAATTTGGTCTGAGACTCAAATGCAGAAGAAAAGAAAACCCACACACCATACCTGCATGGATACAGAGCCTGGGTGAGCTCTTGCCCTGGCTCTGTCCTTATTCATGGACAGATTTCCTCCTTCACTAGGACCAGGATAGAGATGAACGAGTTGATTTGGACACTGGTGTGCTAAACCTTCTTTTCAGACTGGAGTTCTAGATAGTAAACTTAATAGCTGATGTTCACATAACTTTTAAAAATCCTAAGTAGTAGTTCCTGCCTGCACACTATTTTATATGTATACATTTTTTTAAAAAAAATTATGAATTTAAGCAACTTCACAAGAGAAAGAATTGAGGGAGGAAGTTATTAATATTAAACTACCTCTTCTATATGACTACCAAAAGGATTTCTGATCCTTGTAGTATATTTCCACACAGATTGTTATGTATTTGTATTTGGTTCCTCATACTATTTTGTACTCTATATGCATATTTCCATGGGTCAACCTGATTTATATTTTTGTCATTTTAATTTATAAAATGACATCCAATGTATTTTATACTATTACTTGCTCAGTGTTCTCCCTAGTGATGGATGCTTTGGTTATTTTCAATTATTTGCTATCGTGCTATCACATACAGAGTTCTTACGCTTACTTCTGCTCAAATTATGCTTTTGTTTGTATGAATTCCATGGAGTATAGTCTCCAAAGTAGGATGATTAGCTAAAAGAGTAATGGTAGTTCTACAGTTCGGGCTGCACATTACAGTATTACTTTCCAGAGACATGGAGCCAATATACAGCCCCACCTAGGGAGTAAGGCTTGCAGGTTTTCTAACAGCTTGGCCAACATGGAGTTTTGTCATTCTGGCCTATTTCTGCTAGTTTAATATGTGTGTAGGGACCCGCTAGACAGATTTTATTTTGAAGTTCTTTAAGTGATATGAAGCAATTCTTTTCCATTTGGGATGATTCACTGTTTTCATTTGAAGGATAAACAATTCATCTCTGTGTTTGACAGTTTTGAAGTGACAGGTTTAATTGCCTTTTGTATAATTGATTCTGTAGGGAGAGTAAATGGGATTGGTGTTAGATATTGGGCCAGGCTCAAGTGTCAAGGAAAAGACTCGTTGTATAGGTCTGAATTAGGACATTCTTAACATGGAGGGCAGGAACAGAAATTTTAGCTGACCTTGTTTAAGGACTAGAGAGCAGGAACATACTGATTTCCTGATGCAAAAAAATTACCAGGGCTTTGACGAAGGACAATAGATTTTGCTTCCAAGTGAAAACAAGACCCTGTCCCTCCTGCCTCTTTGATCTTCTCACAATGCCAGTTCCTTTCCTGAACATTTTCGGATATTCCCATTTCAGAGAGACTACTCTGGTCTATGATAGCAAGGGTTTTAGAATGGCCATGAAACTAAAACATGTAGCTTGAGAGCTCTTGGGGTAGGACCTGGGGGCAGAGGTCTCAGGGGAAGTCAGTCTTGTCTACGAAAAGGCCAGCTTGATCACAGAAAAGGGCCTTGGTTGTCTTGGTCCTCCGTGACTTATGGTCATCTTCTTCAGTAAGCAAATAAATGATTGCAGTGTTGGTTCTAGTTTCTGTGCTGCCAAACACAAGCTACACCGTTGTTCATGCAAGATGGGCCCTTTCTTTTGGACAGCGGTGTAATCTCTCAATTTTTAAAAAATTGGTGACTACCTTATAATTAAAATCAACCTATCAAACACTTGGAGACAAAATCTGCAGTTTTTCTTCCATTTCTAGTTGTCACACTAAATTTTGCAGTTTCACTCTTGTCTCTGTAGAATACTCGCATACATATGTGTACACATGTACATGCCTATATCTATCTACTTTATTTAGATATAATTCATCTACCATACAATTCACCCATTTTATGTTTTCCATTTCACTGTTTTTTATTTTGTTCCCGGATTGTTCCTTTGTTCCCCACGCGCTTTTTTAGAATTTTTTTCTCCTCTGAGAGAGACCCCCTATCCTTTTCGGTGTGCCTCTCTTTTTCTCTACTCTCCCCCCCCCTCTGGGCTCTCTCGTCTCTTTTTTGTGTCTAGGTTTTTTTCTTTTGTGGGTTTTTTATATGGGGTCTTATACCATATGTTGTGTTTTTTTTTCTTTTTTTTTTTTTGGTATTGTTTTTCCTGTTTTTCTCTGTTTTGGTGTATGTGTGTGTTTTTTTTTTTTTTTTTTTTGTGTGTTATTTTCTTTTTTTGTATACAGCTTTTTTTTTTTGTGTTTTTCTGTTTTTGTGGATTTTTGTCTTTTTTCCTCTCTCTTTTATATATTGTTGTTGTGTGCATTTTTGTGTAGGTTTTTTTGTGTGGATATGCTTTCATTTCTCTTGGGAACATACCTATGAGTGGAATTGCTGGGATATATAGGGGCTCTGTTTAACTTTTGGAGGAACTGCCAAATTGTTTTCCAAAATGACTGCACCATTTCTATTCCCACCTACAATGTATGAATGCTCCAGTTTCTCCATATCCTTGTCAGCACTTGTTATTGCCCATATTATTTGGGATAGCCATCCTAGTGGTTGTGAAATGGCATCTCACTGTGAATTTATCTGCATTTCCCTGATGGCTAATAGCATATTTACTCCTTATCCAAGTGTTTTCTTATACTCCTTAAAAATGAAATGATGAAGAAGCTGTAGAAAATTAAAGAGTACAACTCATGCTTGCGGTTACAACTTCCTCGGGGGTTTCACTGCATGATAATGTGAGAGGCTGCCACTAGCGTGAAGTGCACCAGTCATTTTCTTCCATTCTTGCATCCATTCATCGTTCAGATTCCTGGACAGGAGGATAATTGTCCTCTTTGGGTCTTGCCCACCATTTTGATTTTTATTTCTGCCTAGACAGTGTGCAGCATGAATGTGGGCATCCTGAAAGGGAGTTGGGGTGCTCTTGAAGAGGAATAATAGATGGAATAGGGGAATAAATGGAATAGAGGAATAATAGATACCAAAGTTGGGACCACAATCCAGGTTTCCTGCCTCTCTGGGTGTATCACATTGCCAAGGTCAGGAGCACAGCAGACCATGTTAGAAACCTCATCATGCAGGGTGGTTAATAATTATGCCCTAGTGTACATTATCACAAGGAAAACATAATATCCTTTATAATAATTAAAATTACAATGTTTAAAATTGAGATATTAATATATGCCCTTGTTGGATACAAAGCATGTTTAAAATATATGACCTCAGTTGATCTTCAGTAATCTCTGCTAGTTTCTAGTTATAATCAATAGTGGTATTGGTATTGTATGCTTTGGCCTCATTGAGGTTCAAGTATGTTTTTGTCAACTAGCCTGAGAAGCCAACCACCAACATAATGGGGTAATGAGAAAATGTGTTCAGAGTTTCAAACAAATGGGTAACAAATGAGTGTTCAGAAGTCCACCTGTTTGTAAGCTGGGGCTCACTGGCCAGCAGTCTCATGCCAACAGGTGTGTGTAGACAATGGTGAGCAACTTTCTATCACATGTGTGGCTCTTGGCTACCAGGAGTGTTGGTTGAGGACTAGGCAGTGTCAATATGAGTGATGCAGAGGATCACTCCGCTAGGAGCAGTTTGGAAAAAATATTGTCCTTGGAAATTCCAGGTAGCATGTAAGATCCCAGCAAGGAGGTAGAAGTGTTCATGTGACAGTTCTCTGTTACAGCAGGCAGCCGACCTAAAGGGTTCAGCTGCTGGAAATGAGAATGGCTGAATCAAAATGGCAGCTCAGGGTTTAAAAGACTCTAGCCAGAGTCCTCATGGAGTGCCAACTCCTTTGAATGGCCAGGGGAGAAGGAGCCAAATGCCCTGGATCTTTTTCTTGGGCTTCAAACTCTTTCTTCTCTTGCCATCATCCTCCAGTCCTGGGCAGAAGCCATGATTGCAGGCCTCCTGGCCTCTGTGGACTTCTCAAGGGTTTGTGTTGTCAGACAATAACTACCTTGTCCACCAACAGTCAGTTACGCCCATCGCCCAACCAGACCATAGGTTTATAACATGATGGCAAAGATTGCATCTATAATTGTGATGATTTTTAAAAACAATCACTTCATTTAGATTTTTCTATTTTGATCCAAGGTATTCTTCAGCAGAAATAAGGAAACAGTTTACTCTCCCACCAAACCTTGGCCAGTACCATCGACAGAGCATAAGTACCTCTGGCTTCCCCTCTCTTCAACTAGTAAGTATGAGTTACAAATTTACTTACCAAAACAGTCAAGTGCAGAAGTGCCCAGTGTATGTTTGTTTCCTGACTCTCCTTAGATCTTCCTACCACCACCTTATGTTTTTCAACCACTGATTCCTAACTGCATGGCTCCTTTTTCACATCAGACAATATTCCTTCTCCCTCTATCAGCCAGGGCTTAGAGTGCAAATAGGTCCTTCCTGGGCCATGGTTCTGACCTCTCTAGACTTAGCAGGCACCCAGGCCACTCAATTTCAGCCAAATTATGGTTCATATTTGGGAAAGAGAGACAACCTGGAAACGTACCACTATTTGTGGTTTGCTTTTAATTGGAAACGTGTATTCCACATTCTGAAAAGCCAAGTTACAAACCTTTACTCTGCAAAGTTATTTTCTTGGAAATATAATTTACATATAACAAAATTTACCCATTTGGGCTATACAATTTGATGAATTTGGGCAATTTGGAGTCACTTAACCTCTACTCAATTGATATGGAACACATCCCTTATCCTAAAAAAAATTCCCTGGTTCCCTTTTGCAGTTGGTCTCCTCTCCCAAACCCCAGCCCCCAACCCAGGCAATCACTGATCTACTTCTGTTATAATTTTGCCCTACCTGGAACTTCAGATACCGTCATTGGATTCATACAGTATGTACAAACCTTCATTTTTAAAACATATTCCGCTTTTAAGTTGAAGATTTCTACATTTTTCTATTCACACCAACTGTTGATCGTGCATAGGTATGTTATATTATTTGAGGAATAAATACCAAACATGTGCCAAGTGAGATGAATCTGACTTCAATGAGATGGTTCTGTAAAACCAAAGTGAGTGTTCACTTCCTTTGTGAGAGAGCTCTAGTCCTCCTGTACTCACTTCCTCACACGGCACAGCAGCACTTTTTGCTGCTTCTAGTGGTTATCTTGAGGAGGTTAGGTTATTTTTTGTTTCTTCTTATTACTTCAAAACCACTTCTGCTCTTAGAAATTTTGTAACCTTCCACTCGGTTTCCGGTAGACGCCATTTTGTCTCCTGTGACAATTTACACGCCGTGTAACTGTGTATCTTTTAAAGGTATGTTTTACTGGAGTGATTTGTGGTTATTTCAAAAGGATAATTTGTGTCTTGTGTCATTAATGAAATAGTAGTATTAAAAAACGTATAGCACCTTTTACTGCAAGAGGTAATTTGTGATGCCATTTCTTCAAAAAAATCTATTTATGACTCCGGTGGCTTGCTAGATTGCCCTTTTATTTGTACTTTTCCTGACTGTTTCAAAATTGCAGATTAAAATAAAAGCACATCAAGTGCAGAATGTCCACGTTTTCAGATGTATTAGGTGAGTTCTAAACCAAGATAAATTAGGTATGCTTGTAGGTTTCATTTGGTGCTAATATATATTTCATTGAAAACCAAAACTTTTTTTTAAATTTCTGATTCAAGTTGTATTCCAAAATATGCCCAATTTAGTTAAAAAGTGACTGGATATATTTTTTAATTTAGATAAGGTGTGGGAGGGGGTGTTGGTGCTTTGCTTTTTTGTAAATTAAGACTACAGCTTTCTACAGTAAGTAATTGTCTTGGGAAATAGTGTGGACACCACTATTAAAAGCCTTTAAGGAAGTTTAGCTAATAGGCTTTAACCCCTTCTCTCCACCCACGCTGGACTTTAATGCTGCAGCCTGAAATTTTTCAGGAGAAATTCTTTGTTTGTGTAAAGTTACAAAGAAAAGAAATTGCTTAATATTTGCAAGTATTTTTTTTTTTTTTGGTAATTCACTGCCTTCTCAGTAGGTTTTGATGAAAGTGAATTTTGATGCATTACTTCATTAGCTAGGTAATCAAGTTCACATGTGGCTTAGCTACCCATTTTCTAAGAGAGGATATGAAGAAAGTAGCAAAAATAAGCAAAAATGTTAAACTATACAAGAATCGTATGTTCCTACCCGTTGTCATTTAATCCTGGTTGTATTTGCACATGAATATCCTTTAAAATATATCACTTCTGGTTATTCCCATTTATATGCCTTTTGAATCTCCTTTCCTATCTCTACTCCACTGTAGCATAGTCTGCTACCCTTGTTCCTTCTACCCCAAAAGCAAGAGGCTTGTGGGAGCCAAGGGGCTTAAATTCTATTCCTTTTTTTTTTTTTTAATAGTCTGTTAGGAAATCCCATCTCCTAATGTTTACTTTCTGTCTGTTGTAATGTCAGAATGAAGTGGCTGTTCTTTCCCTTGAGTCATCTCCCCGAAGGTTCCCCCAAAGAAATCATCAAATTACATGGTGATTTCCTTTTACCTTTAAAATATTATTTCTTTTCATAGAGAGATAACAGAACATTTCAGCAAGATTCATTTCTAGCAAGGCAAAGGATTTGTTTATTATCTAAATATTCTTGACCTTGAAGCAGCTTTAGAAAGCTTGTCTTAAATGAGAGGCCGTAGACTGTTGATTGTATTATTTTGGTTAGTTGAAAAATAAGACCAAGTGCCTTTTGGCCATTGTTTCTCTTACCTTTTTTTTTTTTTAGATAACCACCATTTTGACAACCCCACATACTGATACAAATGGTTGTTTAATTTTAAAAAGTAATTAAGTGAAGTCAAGTTATTTAAAACCTGATCAATTGCAAGTATTTTGTTGCTGCTGCTGTTTTGCAAGAGTGAAGAACTTGAAGTCAGATGAATCTGGAGCGAAGTACAGTTGCCACTGATTAGTTATATAATTTGGGACAAGTTACTTAACCTTGCTGAAGGCTTTAGTTTCCTCATTTGCAAAAGTGGCATAATAATCCTGCCCCCATTAGGGTTAATATAGAATTATATCCTATGAAAATAGTGGCTAATATTGCTGTTTTCTGTATTTGGCACCATGGAGAGTGCCAGATAGTGAGAGAGTAAAAGAAGAAGATAAATAAAAGATGGCTTCAGCTGTGAGGGGCTTTATAATCCATTTGGGAGGACAGAGAATTTAAGGATCTATACTGGCTTCAGGGGGGCAGGTGTTCAGAGGAGGTGACACATGATATACTAGGTTTGATGGAGGAGGCTGAGAAGACTTAGAGGAAGGGCTCTCAGCCCTGACTGCATATTTGAATGACCCAGGGACCTTTAGAAACATGCCTGTAGCCAGGCCCACCACAGAACAATTAAGTCATGATTCTCTAGGGTGGGGACCAGGCATCAGTATTTTAAAGTTCCCTGGGGACTTGAACTTGTGGCCTAAGTTGAGGGTCATTTAAAGAACTTTAAACTTAAAGGTAGAAATATTTCAAATACGTGAAAGAATATAAAGAAGGTTCAAGTTTCTTTTGTGCTCCACCATTGCAGAATGTGTGGTAAGGAAGGACCACTTGTTAATCTTGTAGATACATGCTTATATAAATGTGGTGGCTTCCATCATAAATCTGATAAATCAAATGAGAGGAAGGGTGTGTGTGTGATGTTTTTCCTTTTTGCTTTATTGGACTTTTTTGTTTTTTAACTCTAATTATAAATGTTAGCTGTGATGATTGTGTGTATATACATTTTTAAAGTAGATAAAATATTTTTACATTTTTTAATATGAAGGGAATCCATCATTTAGAGTTGGTTTTTTGGACATGATGATAAACTTGCCCTGGGTCTATCTGATACTCCCGCCAGAATCCTTTGTGACTAGAGCCATAGAGATTTGCTCTGGCTAGTAAATCTCCCTGCGCGTGTAGACTTACCCATTGGCCTCGGCATTCTCCATGGCCACAGCCATGTGAACAGGGCAACCAGAGACCCTCTGATGCCAGGCACCTATGTAGGCAGACAACTCTATATTCGATGTCTCTGTTCAAATGAAACTGTAAAATACTGTTTTCTTATTGTTGAAAGTAGAGAAGAAGGTAAACCATACCAGAGAAGAAAGGACTGGGATCTGTGCCCTAAGGAAGTAAGGAGGATTTGAGACATTGTGTACCTGGTTAATAATATTAAGCTATGGTCTTTATGGAGGGACACATCCTACTTTTTAAAATGAGAACAGAAAAGTTTTGAAATGAAATGGAGTGAATCAACTGGACCATAACGGCTCTGGCGGAAGAAAAGGATGTAAAAAAACCACATCCTGGATATGTACCAGAACGCCATGGTTACACGACATGTTTGTATATAACATTTACATTTTATAAAAAAGGCCATCTCATACCTTAGGAGGCATTTATTCTTGTTATGTGTATAGGTTTCTGTGCAATAAAGCAACCATTTCTTTTACAGCAAAGGATGATTTACATGGTGAATTGCTTGATAAACATGGCCCTCTTTGGTTCTGATTCTGTTGTTCTTTTGTACTTCATCCAAGGAGTTGGGCTACACTTAGGTTTCATTGATTGCACTGGACGGGACATGATGGAAAATGAAAATCTTAAGACAGCTTTCATGCCAATTCACAGTGGATGATAAAATGAAAGACGGGCAGGCATTCTGCACACAAAGCAGGCATTTCGTGATTGTCATTGTAAAACGGGAATCAAACCAGCCTCGGTGAAAATAGATTGATGCCCATCGTGGCATGTCAGCAACTTCTACTCAGGGGCATCAGTGGAAGGCTGTTGGTGGTGGAAGCAGGAAAGTGTTTAATCTAGTCCGTGAGGTACAGTATTGTGAAATCCCTGAAGTCAGAAGAGCCTCACTGCCTTTGGCTTCATTTAAAGATAGCAGAGAGCCATGAGCACTGTCTTATTCATTCATTCAAGAAATATTTGTTGGTTTTCACTGTGGGTTAGGAACCGCTGCAAGAGCTGATGATACAATCATGAATATAACAAAGTGTCCATTCTCACGGAGCTTACATTTGAGAATGGGAGATGGATGTAGACAAGCAAGTGTAGACTGTATCAGAGGTGGCCAGGGCTTTGAAGAATGGAACGGGGAAAGGGGATAGGGACACAGGAGAGGTGCTATTTTAAATTGGGTCATCTGTGAAGGCCTCTATCTAGAAAGGAGATACTGGAGCAGAATCCCGAATGCACTTGACAGGGTATTCCAGTCAGAAGGAACAGCAAGTGCGAAGCCCCCAAGGCAAGAGAGGGGGCATGCTCCAGAAACAGCAAGGAAGCAGGAGGTACCCTGAACAGAGGGGGCAGTGGGGAACGAGACCATAGAGAAAGCAGGGCTGGGGCTTAGGCCTCAGAGACTGTGGAAGACTGTTGGCTCATACTCTGATTAAGACAGGAAGCCACTGGCAGCATTGAGCACAAGCCCAGTGCAATCTGACTTTTAGTAAGAATCACTCCGGCTGCTACGTGGAAAACAGACTGGGGAAGGGAGGGCAGTTAGGAAGATGTCACAGTAACTCAGGAAAGCAATGATGGTGCTTTGGAATAGGTGGTAGCAGAAGAGAAGGTGAGAAGAGATTGGATTCTGGATATATTTCAGAAGGAAAATGGACAGGATGTTCTGGTGGATTATCTGTAGAATGTAAGGGAAAGAGGGGAATCAACATTGACTCCAAAGTTTTTGGCCTGGGCAACTGGGGGAATGTAATTGCCACTTGTGGAGGTGTGCAGAGGCTTAGAAGGTGTGGAAAAATGCAGATTGGCAGGGAAATTATGAGTTAGTTTTGAATTTGTTACCTTTGAGAGGGCCTACTGGATTACCAAATGGTGATGTTAAGATGCAACTGGAAAATTTCATGGTGGAGTTTGAGGCTGCAGATATAAATTTGTACCTCAAAACAATACTTAAAGCCATGAGAGTGGGTGAGATCATCCATGAGTGAAAGCATCTTGAGGAGAGATGTTTTACAACTGAACACCAGGGCACTACATAATAGGAAGAGAACCCTAGAAAAAGTGGTATCCCTAAAGTAGAGTAACCAACTGTCCCAATTTGCTTTGGACTAAGGAGTTTCCCAGTACATGGGATTTTCAGAGGCTGGGACAGACTGGGGGAAGGGGTAGCCCTCCTTGGGAAGAAAGTATTTCAAGAAGGAGAGAGTGATCAACTGTGTCCAATGCTGTAGGTAAACCAAGACTGAGCAGAGACCACTGAATTTGATTACATGGAAGTCTTGGGTGATTTTGACAAGACTTGTCTGTTGTGAA